ATTGTGCTCTTTGTCTGTATTCCCATCCCTGTCTTGCTCCCTTACTCCTTTTCTTTTTTTTTTTTTTTTTTTTTTTTTTTTTTTTTTTTTTCTTTTTTTCTTTATTTTATTTCATTTTTTAAATTTATATCCAAGTTAGTTAGCATATAGTGCAACAATGATTTCAGGGGTAGTTTCCTTAATGCCCCTTACCCATTTAGCCCATCCCCCCCACACCCTCTCCAGTTACCCTCTGTTTGTTCTCCATATTTATGAGTCTCTTCTGTTTTGTCCCCCTCCCTTTTTTTAAAAAATTTTTCCCCTTCCCTTATGTTCATCTGTTTTGTCTCTTAAAGACCTCATATAAGTCAAGTCATATGATTTTTGTCTTTCTATGACTAATTTTGTTTACCATAATACCCTCTAGTTCCATTCATGTTGCAATTGGCAAGAATTCATTTTTTTGGATTGCCAAGTAATACTCCATAGTATGTATATACCACATCTTCTTTATCCATTCATCCATTGATGTATATTTGGGCTCTTTCCATGCTTTGCCTATTGTAGATAGTGCTGCTATAAACATAGGGGTGCATGTGTCCCTTCGAAACAGCATACCTGTATCCCTGGGATGAATTCCTAGTAGTGTAATTGCTGGGTCATAGGGTAGTTCTATTTTTAATTTTTTGAGGAACCTCCATACTGTTTTCCAGAGTGGCTGCACCGGTTTGCATTCCACCAACAATGCAAAAGAGATCATCTTTCTCCACATCCTCACCAACATCTGTTGTTGCCTGAGTTGTTAACTTTAGCTGTTCTGACAGGTGTGAGGAGGTATCTCATTGTGGTTTTGATTTGTGTTTCCCTGGTGATGAGTGAGGTTGAGCATCTTTTCATATGTCAGTTGGCCATCTGGATGTCTTCTTTGGAAAAATGTCTGTTCATGTCTTCTGCCCATTTCTTCACTGGATTGTTTGTTTTTTGGGTGTTGATTTTGATAAGTTCTTTAGAGATTTTGGTTACTAGCCCTTTATCTGATAAGTCGTTTGCAAATATCTTCTCCCATTCTGTTGGTTGCCTTTTAGTTTTGCTGATTGTTTCCTTTGCTGTGCAGAATATTTTATTTTGATGAGGTCCCAGTAGCTCATTTTTGCTTTTGTTTCCCTTGCCTCCAGAAACATGTTGAGTAAGAAGTTGCTGTGGCCAAGGTCAAAGAGGTTTTTGCCTGCTTTCTCCTCGAGGATTCAGATGGCTTCATGTCTTACATTTAGGTCTTTCATCCATTTTGAGTTTATTTTTGTGTATGGTGTAAGAAAGTGGTCCAGGTTCATTCTTCTGCATGTCGCAGTTCAGTGTTCCCAGCACCACTTGCTGCAAAGACTGTCTTTATTTCATTGGATATTCTTTCCTGCTTTGTCAAAGATTAGTTGTCCATACGTTTGTGAGTCCATTTCTGGGTCCTCTCTTCTGTTCCATTGATCTGAGTGTCTGTTTTTGTGCCACCGTTACTCCTTTTCTACGGTGTTCCTGAGAGCACCCCCCAGATATGCTCATACTTGGATCCTTATTTCAGTGACTTCTGGGAAAACCCAGACTAAGACAGTCACCGTAATTGGCAGCTCATCACATGACCCAAATTCAGATGAAGCAGGATGTAGAAGGAAGTGGCGGTTCTGAAGACACAAAAATAGTAGCTGTCCATTAAAAAAGATACAGTGTGAGCCCCCCCCCCCCCAAAACAGCAAACATTGAGAGTTTATAGTAAGTGCTCCCACCAGACCAGCATTTGGGCACAAAACATGTCTGGCCTGACGTGCCGAGATGAAGTTGACCTCCCTAGCAGGTGGCTCTGGAGAGGAAGATGTCAGACGATCTTGGGGTCCACACCATAACAAACGCTATGCCTTATGCAGCCCTATTTCCATTATTTTGTTATCTTGAGCCTTCCGGACCCAGCTGAATCGCAGCCAAAATGCTATTATGGCAGAAGGATACACCCACTTTCTCACATGCCAGCAGAGGCTGGGCGACGTGGCATATGTTTGGTCACATCCCCATTACGCATTTGGGGTTTGTGTGCTTGTGCAGTGATAAAAATGTTCTTATCTCTGTGTCTCAGCTGTGGTATCCCTGCCTCTTTCCATTTGGGTTTATTCGTTTCTAAAGGCAAGCATTCCATATACGTCATGGGGTATAACGTGTAGAGAAGTCATGGGTTGACTTGTCTAGAAGCAGCACTTCAGAGAGGGGGTTCAGGTGTATAATACTCTGAGGGAGTGCTCTTCAACACACACACACACACACACACACACACGCACGCACGCTCGCCCTTCTCAGGTTGTGAGGGAAACAAAATAGGTAAGATGAAGGAGTCTCACACGGATGGGGGTGTCAATCTCAGGTAAAGTCTGGACCAGGGTTAGTCAAATTCTGTCCCTTGAATCGAATCTAGCAGCTACCTGTTTTGATAAATTAAGTTTTATTGACATACAGCCACACCCATTATTTGACATAATGTCTGTGTCTGCTTTCTTGATACAAGGGTGGAGTTGAGAGTATTCCTAATGAGACTGTGTGGCCCATAAAGACTGAATTATTTACAGTTTTGTCCCTTTACCCAAAAAAATGCTGTCCCCTGTTCCAAACCCTGGGAGCTCTGGAGCATCCATTGGTCCATAAAGCTATCCACACCTTGAGACAAGGGGCTGGTCTGCGCACCTTAGTGTGCCAGACCCTGGTGGCCAGCCACCTCAGGTGTTGAGGGTGAGGTTCATGAAGCACCCGAAACCCAGGGTGGTGGTGGTTCCTGAGAATAACTTAGCGGGTGCTAGGGCCAGCTCTGAGCTGTGAGTCCCCTCCAGAGCAGCTGGGAAATGGGCACATATGCCAGGTAAAGGGGGTCTTTCAAAGCAGCACCAGCATCCACCGCCATGTTTATCTGGATCTGCACGAGTGCTTCATGTACCTGGAGAGAATCTCCACTTCCTGCCTGAAACTGAGCAATAACCCCCCTCTTCTGGACTCCGTGCCTCATCTGAGTTTGCCCCCTCCCTCCCACTGCTCTCAGGGTGACACAGAAACCCTTCACAAGGCATCGTGAGCCCTGCAGGCCTGTTCAGCCCCACCTCCTCCCTCTCCCCTCTTCTGCACGTGCCCGGCACATGCTTCAACTGCCCTCCACCTTCTCCCATATTTAACTCACATCTGGATTTCTGGGTCTCAGCTCAGAGAATATTCCTTCGGAGCCAACTTCTTGAACCTCTCCAGGTGAATTCCATTTCCTCTACGTAGTCAATATTCTGCTCATGTGTCTTTACATATTTTTTTTCTGTCTTTGCAAATTACAACACGCACAGATTTTCTTTAACAAAAATGCTGTATTATTTGCATTACTTTCTCATTTTCTTTTTCCCTCCTTAACAGTATAAGCCCCAAGGAACTATCCAGGTTGACAGGTGTAGAGTTAACACATCTTTCTATAAGATTTTTTTTTTTAAACGTTTATTTATTTTTGGGACAGAGAGACACAGAGCATGAACTGGGGAGGGGCAGAGAGAGAGGGAGACACAGAATCAGAAGCAGGCTCCGGGCTCTGGGCCATCAGCCCAGAGCCTGACGTAGGGCTCGAACTCACGGACCGCGAGATCGTGACCTGGCTGAAGTCGGACGCTTAACCGACTGCGCCACCCAGGCGCCCCGCTATAAGATTTTTTTTAAGTTTATTTATTTATTTTGAGAGAGACAGAGACAGTGCGAGTGTGGGATGGGCAAAAAGAGGGAGAGAGAGAGAATCCCAAGTTGTCAGCGCAGAGCCTGATACAGGGCTTGAACTCGTGAAACTGTGAGATCATGACCTGAGCTGAAGCCAAGAGCTGGACTTAACTGGCTGAGCCACCCTGGTGCCCCAGAGTTTAACTCGATTTTAAACACTTTTTTTTTAAGCTGCATGATATCCCATTATATGCATGTACAGATTGTGTATGTAATATGAATGTACAATAATTTAATAATTCCCATATGTGTTTTTTTTTGAGAAAGATAAGAGATAAAGTAGGGGAGAGGGGCAGAGGGAGAGAGAGGGAGGGAAGGAGAATCTTAAGCAGGGTCCATACTCTAAGCAGAGTCCAACTCAGGGCTCGATCCCATGACCCTTGGATCATGAGCTGAGCTGAAATCAAGAGTCACATGGCCCATCCAGGTGCCCCCAAGAATTCCTGTATTTTTAGGAGCTCATGTCGTTTGTGTGTGTGCATATATTTCACCTCATAGACAATGGTGCAGAGAACATCTCTGAACAAATATCCATGTATTCTGATGTCATTTCTGTAGGCTCATTCCCTAGAAGTGGTATTGTTTGGTCAAAATATGCACTCACTTTACATTCTAAGACACACTGTCATGTTCCTTTCCGCAAATATGGCAAATTGCGTGCCCACCATGAGTTGATGAGACCACACAACTTCCCACATCTTTACGACTATCGGTGTACCTCCCCCCTCTTACTCAATGTTTGCCAATCTCTTGGCGAAGGAACAGCTTCTCGTCATTGTTCTGACTTGCATTTCCTTGACTGTTACTGAAGTTAATCGTCTGTATATAGTTTATTTTTTAATGTTTCTTCATTTTTGAGCGAGAGCACGAGATTGGGGGAGGGGCAGACAGAGAGGGGGACAGAGAATCCGAAGTGGGCTCTGTGAGCCCGATGTGGGGCTCCAACTCACGAACCGTGAGAGCGTGACCTGAGCCAAAGTTGGACGTTCAACCAGCTGAACCACCCGGGCACCCCTATAGTTTTAATAACAGAAATAGCCCCTGCAATGGTAGGGACCTTAACACATCCATTTCAGGGGGAGATGAAAAGTTCTAGGCACACCCTTTCCCCTTAATTCACCCATCCCCTGCTGCTCTCGCTCTCGTGTCCCCAGGAGGGTGGGTGTTTGGGACCCTGCGAGGGTGGGTTGCTTTGCATGGGAGGAAGGTCCCGCCCCGTCTGTGACCACCCCCTGTTATCTTGCTTGCAGATGCTACGCAGATGAACAACGCGGTGCCCACCTCCCCTTTGCTCCAGCAGATGGGCCATCCGCATTCGTACCCCAGCCTGGGCCAGATCTCTAATCCCTACGAGCAGCAGCCGCCAGGCAAAGAGCTCAACAAATATGCCTCCCTGAAGGCGGTTGGTAAGTGCTGTTCTCTTTCTCCCCTGCTTTTCTGTACTTTTCTCTCCCCACCCCCCAACTGGTTTTTCTGCTCCTCTCTTTCGTTCTACTTCTCGTTTTCTTTTCCTTCTTCTCGTCTCCTGAACTCTGTGTCTCTGTCTGTCCATCTCTTCCTCTATCTCCCTCTCTGTCTCTCTCACACATATTCTTGATGTCTCTACCTGGGGCCCAGGTTACTGTGAAACAGTTGCTTTCCCTATGACTAGTCACATGGGGCAGGGTGGGGGGGTGGCGAGGGACACGTGTGGGGGCTGTTTCCCGGGACAGAGGGCGCCTGGAGGCTTATTTGGACCCACAGACACCTCAGCCCCTTCGTCATTCACCATCTGCCCTAGTGAATCCCCAGGATATAGAATCCAGGGCACCCGGTGTCCGAGTGTCTTGCCCTATAGGAGGTAGCATCCATCACCCCGCAGTCACCCCGTCTCTGTGAAGTCAGTAAGTGGAACGCTTCTGCTCTTCCGGATTGGGCACGCAGCCTGGAGCTTGGGCTAAGTTCTGATCAAGTTCTTATCGATTGCACGGGACATTTTATACATCCTGCCTCTCTTTCTCACAGCGGTCCAAAGAGGAGGGCACAATTATTATCCCAGTTTTCAGATCAGGAAACTAAGACTCAAGGAGTCTCCTTTACCTTGGTCCAAATCAAGCAGCCTGTGGATTTTTATTACTCCAGAGCCTATCCTCCCGCTGCTAGCTTCCCCTGGCCCTGCTCCTCCGTTAGTCCCTTTCCCCAGCTCACACATGAGGGAGCATCACATATGATGGTGTCCCGGGCTTCCGAACGAACCGTGTGGGCAGGAGTTCTATCGGATGGAAACAGCAGCCACAGCAAAGTCACACTTTGGGCAGATGGACTCACAGGCCACCTGCTTGCTTTTATTATCAGCTACTTGTCTTCATTCTTTCCCTTGCAACCACGCCCCTCATCAGAGATGGGATGGGAGGTGTTTGCTGATTGATTCCTGTGTCTGCTATCTTAATTCCATTACAAACGGACACCAGAAACCAAAGCCCAGACGCTGTGATGTGTCTGTGATGCTGGAGGTGACCATGGTCTCCAAACATCGGAGGCACAGAGCATCTTGGTGGCTCGGCAGAGGGCCAGGCACATACTAGGAACTCCGCAAGCGTTTGAATCACAAATATCTTTAGGAATTCATGTCTCCCCGTCTCCTAGGGCTTCCAGATGGAGTCCCTCAAAGATGGGCAGACCAGATTTCTAACCCCAAGGGCGCAGGCTGAGCAGACTGACACAGGCTTTTCCAAATCCCAAGCCCTGCAAGAACTCATATACCAGTTCCTGTGTTGCATGTTGAGTTTCTGCACCAAACTCAGCCCTTATACACACCCCATGACCACAGATTCCCCCCATTCCAGATCGCGTGTTTGCACAGCGTATGCATCCTGAGCATGTTTAAGTAGACTCAAATATTGGGAGGAAGAGCTGCAGGCTGTTGCCTAGGAGAGAAGGAGTCAGGGCATCTACACCAATGTAGCTGTGGAAGCCTTCATACACTGTGTGGTGCCCTGCCCCTCCCCGCCCCCTTCCTGAGCCTTGCCTTTAGGTGACAAATGGCATCTGCCAGTTCCATTTGATTCTTCTTTTGGCATTAAAAAAAAATCAACTCAGACATCCTTTTCCCTTTGAACTGGTTACATTCCCCTAAACAACTTATTTCTTCAGCTTAGGCCTGGTGTCTTGTCCCCCCTCCAAACCCAGTAGTTATTTGGGTGAATCATAGATGGATATTCCCACAATGCTCCTTGATTTTCCCCCCAGATTTGTACAGAGATCCTGCCCATAGCACATGTCTACAGTGCATTTAGAATTCCATTTCCAGTTTTGCCCTCCTTAAGTAACCCTTTCTTCCATAAAGAACTTCCATAAAGTTCTGTAGTGTTTACTGAATGAATGCGCTTGTCTTTGGCATGAGTCCAATCATAGCTCAGTTGTAAGGAAGCACCCCTAATCTTCTAGAAAACTCTGAAGGATCTTACATAAAGAACCCTCCTCCATCCTGGATATGGTTGATGTGCCCCTCTTCTTCTCTGTCCTTCCTCTCTGCTTGTTGTGGGAGTTCACAGACTTTACCTGAGTCGCCGATGGTCTTGTGACTCTCCAGGGAGGAGCAAATTAAAGGACTGCCTGACCCAGTGTGTTACCCACGTGTCCAGCATCTGCCTGCACAAATGACATGCAGATCCTGGGCTAAGTGCTCTTCGAAAGGTTCTTTATTAAGGCATAATTCACACCATGATGTGTGTGCGGATGATGAAATGCATTTCATTAGCAAAATCATTACCACCCAGGAGAGAAGTTGTTTAAAATTTTTTTTCCTTTGAGAGTTCTGCAGCCTTCGATAAGCAGATGCATTTTCTAAAAATTCCTGGTAAAGAAGGAAGGACTTGGACAGCCTTTAGGGTTAACTGCCAGGTTCAAAAATACCCCTGGAAAATAAATTTCTCTTGGTGGCTTTAATATCCAGAACATGGGGTAGTTTCATGCAGCCACTGAAACTCTCTGACCTCAGCTTCTTCATGTGAAAAATGAGGAATGAAAAGCGAGGAAATTTTAAAATAGAAAATGAAACAATTCTACACATTCTAGTTATTAGAATACTGTGGGCCATTAAATATGTCCCATCCATTCACTGCCAACTCCAGAGAGAAAAGAGGTAACTGTTGGTAATTTTATTTTATTTTATTTTATTTTATTTTATTTTATTTTATTTTATTTTATTTTATTATTTTATTTTACTTTATTTGCTTGTTGAAATCACACTCATTAATGTTAAAAAATTTTTTTAGTGTTTATTTATTTTTGAGAAAGAGAGAGAGTGTGAAAGGAGGAGGGGCAGAGAGAGAGGGAGACACAGAATCCAAAGCAGGCTCCAGGCTCTGAGCCGTCAGCACAGAGCCTGATGCAGGGCTTGAACCTGCAAACCATGAGATCATGAGCCAAAGACAGATGCTTGATTGACTGAGCCACCCAAGCACCCCAACACACTCATTGATGTTTAAAGAGAGCTCTTTTCTTTCTACAATTCAGGGATATAGCATGTGAGTACACAATGTTCTCTGTTCCCAAGGGGTTCACTGCCCAAGTGTCAGCAAAAGATTAGCACACATTAGGGAAATGTTAGCAGCTAAATTTCATCAGATTTTGTACAAGGAGGTATGATGGGGTTGGATTATCATTTGTTTCATTCATTCATTCATTCATTCATTCATTCATTCATTCATTTTAGACATTTAATCTGGTGTCCCTTGATTGTAGGTCCCATTGAAGCATGAACCAAGTCTGTCCCACTCATCAGTGCATCCCCAGCACCTAATACCATGCTGGGAACTTACAAGTGCTCCCAATAAGTTTTTGTAAATTTAGTGAATTAGAGCATATGGTGAGTACCACATCAAGTCAGGAGCATGAGATGATCAGCAACATGGTGGAACATGGCATGGCCTCTGCTGCTGGTCGGGACGGAGTTTAAGATCTCACTAGATGTTTTCAGGCTCTTTCTGAAATAACTTAACCTCCTCAGGTCTCAGTTTCCCCCCTCTGTAAAATGGAGATAATAACAATACGGAGCTGATGGTTTGTTGGGTAGATTCAGTGATACATTGCACAGAATGTGCTTAGCCTGACATACAGTCAACCTCAGTAATACTGGAACATATTAAAGTCTCCAGACCAGAGTTGTTTGTTGGCCATATTTTTCCTCAGATCTCCAAGATATACTGATGCCTTGATTAACATGCAGTGGCTCAGGTGTCATTTTGAGGGAGGGAGAGTTTATTCCGGTTTGATGGGAAAGACATACAAGGAAGCTAACTCACACTGAGGATCTGATAAAACAAACAAGCAAGCAAAACAGCAAATGACGTTTTTGAGCCATTCTAAGGACCAGCAGTCAGCCAAACCTGTTTACTGCCCCATATCTCCTGAATGACGAAGATCCAGACATATGGCTACTACAATCCATTAAAAAAAGATTCCTAGTCTCCTCCAACTGACTCTCCTTCCTAAGTTACAACTGCGGATTTAAACGTTGTAGTTACATCCTCCACCAAGACTGAAGACAAAAAGTGTGTCTTGTGGTAGATTGAGTCGAAATGTAACCTGAAGTCTCCGTTAAGCACACGAGTTCCCTGGCTTGAGCCGCCCGTTTGATGGGTAGTTACGATGTGAAGAGCCCACTTTATGGTTCTTCATAGGCAATGTTGACAGGACAGAGGTGTTTGGGAAAATGTCCAGAAGGCTTACCTGCTGGTTCAGAGGGGGGTGGTTCCTGCCTCCAGAGCTGGAAAAAGACCACACTTTCACGTAATTTCTGATGGACCTTGCATACAGAAAATTGACTACGCATTAGCATTTATCGCCTCTTGGCCCCATGTCCAGTTTTTTCCTCTAGGCACGTAAGACTTAAACTACTGACCACATTTATTTTATTTTATTATTTTATAATTTTATCTACTTATTTATTTATTTAATATAATTTATTGTCAAGTTGGCTAACATACAGTGTATACAGTGTGCTCTTGGTTGTGGGAGTAGATTCCCATGATTTATCGCTTACATACAACACCCCGTGCTCATCCCAACACGTGCCCTCCTCAATGCCCATCCTCCATTTTCCCCTCTCCCCCACTCCCCCACCCTCATCAACCTCAGTTTGTGCTCTGTATTTAAGAGTCTCATATGGTTTGTCTCCCTCCCTCTCTGTTTGTAACAATTTTTCCCCCTTCCCCTCTCCCATGGTCTTCTGTTAAGTTTCTCCAGTTCCACATATGAGTAATGAAGACATATGATATCTGTCTTTCTCTGCCTGACTTATGTCACTTAGCATAATACCCTCCAGTTCCATCCACATTGCTGCAGATGGCAGGATTTCATTCTTTCTCATTGACCTACATGACCCTTTAGATGCTTCATTGCAACCCTGGCTTCTCAGTGAGAGAAAGAGACAGGGCATACCAGCATTATTGATAAAGTGCCATGGTGCCTTCATTTTTACATTAAAATTTTATTAAGAAGATATCTTCTTTGTTGCTATTTGACAGACAAGGGGCTCTTGCCAGAATCCTGTTCCATTTTCCAATGGCACTGTTTAAAACCACAACTATGCACTTCAACATGTCAGGAATTTCCTCTTTCGTCTTGCTGTACGAGTCATGCGTGAGAAACCTACCTGATGCATGAGACTTCAGCCATGGATTGACCTCTACATGTTTAATTTTTTTTTTTTTTAAGTTATGGCAAGAAGAGGGCTAACATCATTGAAGTCTCAAAACACTATACCTGTGAGGGAGGTATTGTTCCCAATCTTTGGCAGATGAAATTAAGCAATTTTGGCAGGTGAAATTAAGCAATTTTCCCAGCGTCTTCCAGTAAATGGCAGAGGCAAGAATCACATTCAGGATTACCTGATTCAGAATCCTGTGTTCTTTCCATGACATGATTCCATCTTCAAGAGGGCAATTTCTGGCATCAGAAGGCTATAACCAGACCAAAAAAAAAAAAAAAAAAAAAAAAAAAAAAAAAAAAAAAAAAAATGGGGGAGCACCTTCCCCTCTTTTTTGGAGGGAGGATTATTTATATTGAGTTATCTTTCTTTGTTTGAAGTTTAAAGTTTTCCCATGGTGCTGAGTATAATTGAGGTATAATATATTTAAGGTATACTGCAGATAAGGTAAAATTTACATGTAGTGAAATCTGCAGATCATAATTTTACAGTGGCATGATTGTTGAAAGACACATACTCTAGGATAACAAACATCCCAGTAAGGATAAGAAATACTTCATCACCCAGAAAGCTACCTCACGTTTGTTTCCTCTCACCGCCTTTGATTCATCCCCCTTTAATAAGCGTTGAAGTTTTTCCACCCAATAAATATTTATCTAATGTCAGGGGTAGTGGCACCAAGCATGTAGTGGGACCTTGTGTGTATATTTGGAAGCCTGTGTGCCACCTGACTAAGTGTCCTTATTTTCAGTGGATTTATGAAAGAGAACTTGTTACCACCTTGCCAGAGCTAAGCCCTGCCTTAGGTGGGGATAGGGGTGACCATGGCATGGTTCCTGTCTTCAAGTGATGAACTTGGCTTAGGGGTAATGACCTGTTTGGCGTCCGTGACTCAGTGACTCAGGCAGTCTTGTGTCCACCCACACAGGAAGATTTGGGGCCACATCACTATTTCCAGATGTCAGTGAACCTGGGCGGGTCTCACTTAATTTTAACTTCTTCACCCTCCTGTCCCTTCGTTTCCCCTCTGTTGTGAATAATGAGGGTGTTGAGTTCATATCGGCAGGGGGAATGTGGCAATCTGAGCATCCTTTGGCATGCCTACGAGGCCAACCAGAAATGTTTAAATGAGACCGGATCTGTGCTCTGTAATCTTTCACATCACGCAGAATGTTCCCTGCAACTCCTCTCAGCTGGCAGCCTGATGTCTGTCTGGAAATTGTGCAAAAATGCTGAGAACTTGGGCTTTTCAGGTAGATTCTTAAGAAAGGGGAGCCAGTGGCACACACTGATTGGTGAGGCCTCTGGCCAGTGGACAGAGGCTGCTGCACAGACACGTGAGCAGGTTTACCCCCCTTTGAGTAAAATCCAATCTTACAGAGAAAGTCTAACAAAGACAGGCTTAGAGTGTGGCCATTGCCCTTCTTAACATTCTTTACGCAAGAGGTTACCAGGGAGTTTTCTTAATAAAGTACCATCACCAGGGCTCATTCGGCACACCTGAAATGAAATTCAACTTAGAGAAACTGATTTCTAAACAAAATTCCAAGCATTATGTGATGCTTAAATAACAAACTTGAATCCTGTAGCATTTAGGGGAATTTCCCTCCCTTAGGAAAAGTGACTCACAGAGAAACTTAATTTGTTCGTTCGTTCATTCATTCATTCATTCATTCAACAGTATTTTTCTTTCTTTTTTCTTTTTTCTTTTAATGTTTTTATTTTTGAGAGGGGGAGGGTCAGGGGAGGGACAGAGAGAGAGAGGGAGACAGAGGATCCAAAGCAGGCTCCGTGCTGAGGGCAGAGAGCCCGATGTGGGGCTCGAACTCACAAACCCTGAGATCATGACCTGAACGAAAGTCAGACGCTTAACCGACTGAGCCACCCAGGCGCCCCATCAGTATTTTCATACACAGATTATGTGCATGGACAGTCCCTACCCGTTGGGGGCCTGCCACCCAGCCTGTAAAGTTGCAGTCACTGCAGAGCCTGGCCCAACTTTGGATTTCCCTCTAACTTTTTCAGGAGAGGGATTGCAGTAAAACAGGATCCAAATGTATCTTGTCAACAAAGTGTTGTCATTAGCAAAAGTGACCTCATGCAACTCACATTTCCCTTTCTTTCTTAGAGGGTTGAGATTTAGAGCCAGATTCACTGCCTGAGAAATCTCTCTCTCCCTGACGTAACTGAAAACATCTAGGCCTTTTTCAAGGGACTTCTTCTGACCCTCTGTTGGGTGTTATCTTGATGCTGCAGAAGGAAGTGCCTACAGAATCACATTTGCCCGTTTGGTCTCTCGCCCTGTTCCTGGGGCCCCTGAGGCCTGCCCTCCCCCCCCCCCGCCCTGCCTTGGAGGCTGCGGCTGGGGCCGGCAGCAGGTGAGGGCAGCGAACACGAGAAGCCGGCCAGCAGATCAGCATCTCTCGATTGTTATTTTTTTAGGAAGTTCTGATGGTGACTGGGCAGTGGCGACACTTAAGTCACCAAAAGGTACTGTACGGCTCTTTCTAGCTCTTTTGTCTAGGTCTTGTCACATTTGACATTAATCATTGAAAGCACAGAGTGTCCTGGTGTCTGTGTGTGACCCAGTGCCACACGTGTGTCCCCATTGAGTGGACCTGAAATCCATCTAAGTTCCAGCATGTAGGTGTTCGTGTGTGTGTGTGTGTGTGTGTGTGTGTGTGTGTGTGTGTGTGTGTGTGTGTGATGTATCTGTGCTCTGGGCTGTTGTTGAAGAATGTGCTACCCGCCCCCCTTCTCAGTATTCATTGCCTGAAGGAAAATGTCCCTATCAGACACCATCCAGGTAAGACATCCAGGAAATGTTTTATTTTTTTTCAGAAAGCAACCCAAGCAAACTAGCAAAACACAAGGTGAATTAATGCAGGAGGGGAGAAAACACACCTTGTGAGGCAGAGATAAACACAGTCAGGTTCTTGGCTCCAAGTCTTGGGGATGATTTAGCCTTTTTGCTCTGTTCAGCTTTCCTGAGGCGGTCTGGGGAGAATCAGGAGTCCTTCACGTGGAGTCTGTGAGTTTAACCAGCTGGGTGGCTGGACCAGGAGGTAGCTAGCATCTCCTCACTCCCTACCATGTGCCAGACAGGGTGCTGGCCCTTTGCATCATGTTGTCACTAAATTCCCTGATGACCCAGCCGTGCAGGCAGTGTCCTTCCCCGTTAGCGATGAGGACACGGGCGTCTGAGGGAGGGTGTCTCGCTTACGTCCACAGCTGCTAAGTGCTGGCATTGTAGTTTGGACCCACATCCGTCTGACTCACATGCCTAGGTTATTTCCCACCTGAGTGATGGGAGTAGCTCTTTTCAGAACAGACGAGAAACTGTTCTCTTCTGCTCTCACTCCATTTGCTTTGTTGGATTTGGCGGTGGGGAGGATGTCACTGACCCAAGGCGGTGGAGGCAGAACTGTTTAGTGACCTTGGACTGGGGAAATTAGAAGGCCTCACAGGGCTCTAGGCAGGATACTGGCAGTTCCATTTTTGCATTCTTGAACGATAGTTTTGGTTTTCAGGTGGAGCTGGGATTAGGGGCAAATGGCCTGGAGGTAGCCCCCCTGCCACTCCCCTCCTCCCCTGCTGCCCCGGGAGGCTTCTACGATTACCCAGGTGGGCGGTGGCCTGGGCCAGGTGCGTAGAGAACACAGAAGACAATGAAGTAGGAGACAAGGGACTGTAGAAGGTCATGAGTGTGTGCCTGTGAGCAGGAAGGAGGGAACAGTGGGCCCTCACTGGTTCTCACATTTCAGCTCCTTGAGCAGCATCAGCCTCCCCCAGAAGATTGTTAAAACCCAAATCCCTGGGCTCCATCCTAGAGCTTCTGATTCACTGGGCTTTCGGCTGGACCCGAGGAGTTACACTGCCACCAGGTTCCCAGGGGATGCTGCTGGCCTGGGGACCACACTTTGAAAACCACCACAGTAGAGAAATCTTGCTGGGAACTAGCACCCTCTGGTTAGGTCTCTAAAGATCTTTCTGTGGGCTGAGGGTTCTGATGAGGGGAGTTTAACTAGGTCTCAGTGGCTCAGAAACAACCTGAGCTCTGGGGAGAGCACGGAAGGGAAGGGGATGCACTGTATTCCCATATCCACAGAGAGAGCCTTAGACCCACGAGTCTGCTAAGGATCCCTTGACTACACAGTTGTTGCCTTTAGAGAGGCAGATTTTTGGGTCTTGCATTAGGTAATAACTGTTTACATGTCAACATCCATTTTTAGAAAGGCAAACAATTTGGAACATGACAGACCTACTAATTTGAGGCATAAACTTTTTTTTTTCTCTCCCGTGTGAAAAACAAAGCCATTATGATTCCCGTGACAGCATTTAGAGGCAGTCAGCACCCCTGTCTTTATATCAGCTTATTGTTGTCTGATGCATTTAGGAAATATTTCAGGATGGGTCAAAAGCAAGGGCTTGGAAGCTGTTTTTCCACCCAAACTGGGCTAATTTCACCTGTCCTGTTAAATGCATCTTTATTTATCCTGCCTTGTCTTGGGGGTGGGG